ATTTCTGAAGGTGTATATCAGAATCGCTGAAGAAGCATTTTCAAAACACACATACGTCTAGGTCCTACTCCAAACTTACTGACTGAAAATCTCTAAGTCATGAGTCGGGCATGTGTATTTTATAAAAACTCCCCAGGCAATTCTGATTCACCATATTGGTTAAACATCACTGCTATTATGTTTTTTATTTTCCCCAACAGGAATTTAACATGGTGCAACTTTAAACCAAATAGCCCATTCAAAAATAAAATTTATAAGAGTTTATTTGAGCCAAACTGATGACATATGCTGGGAAGCAAGATCTCAAATGCTCCCTAAGTAGCCCGTATAATGCATTTTACATTTCTCAGCTGGCAAATAACAAAAGTAATATAAACGGACTATGTTAAGAGACCTTAAAACATAAACTACAGTTGAAAATCAAAATCAATAACATACTAAATAGAAAATAAATAAATAAATGAGACCTGAAATAAACACCAGCTTGAAAAGCCACTAGACCAATTCAAACAAAACAATCACTAACCCCAAATTCTCAGGGCTATCTATTACCATTAAAAGAAATAAAAATAAAGAAGACCATCTGCAGAACATAGCCAAAGTATGTAGAAATCCAGAGGATACCTGAATTATTCTGCACTGTATACATATTTCTCCTATTAGGCATCATCTTATATTCATTCCCTTCTTTCCGGGTCCGCCGCTGACCGGCCTCTGAGGATTCTCTGGAGAAAAGAAAATTTTAAAGGGTGAGCATTTAAACAGGGAACTCTTTTAACTCTTTCTCTCTAAAGACAGTCAGTCTCACGCAAGACTTTGGCCTCAGAGAAAATGGCAATACCTACGAGAATGAGTTACTCTGAGCTTCCGCCAGCCGCAGTCTCTTGGCATGATTCTTCCCTTGATAGTGAGCCTGAGCCACAGCCGGAGAACTAAAGGAGGCATCACAGAGCTTACAGTAATCGTTCTCTGTGGCCAGGATCACTCGGCCTCCCGGCTTAAAGGAGCCCATCTGACATCAAAGACACAAGAAACAAGGTTAAAAAAATCTGGAGCTTATTCCCTCCCTCTCCTCAAAGTTCCTTCTAAGAGTTGAAAAATAACCAAAGGTTATGGCATGAGGACAAACGCTCAATAAGGAAAGGAAATAATTCATTCCGGGAAAAAAAGAAAAGAAAGAAAGAAAAGAGAAGAGAAGAGAAGAGAAGAGAAGAGAAGAGAAGAGAAGAGAAGAGAAGAGAAACAAACAAACAAAGAGAGAAAGAGAAAGAGGGAGGGAGGGAGAGGGAGGGAGAAAGAAAAAGACTAGGAGATGCTTAATCATAGTTTTTTGTACGACTATGTACCAAACTGATGATTGGCTCATTGCTATCCCCACTGAAGAAATTTTCTTTTTTTTAAAGTTCAAAAACCCAGAAAAAGTAGAGTCTTCCCAGAATCCACCAACAAGCATGTACTGAACACCTACTGTTTTTAGGACTTGCTACATAATGCAGAAGCTATATACAGACATAAATTTAAAAATGAGCACCTGCCCTCAGAGTCTACAAATTAGCTACAGATATAATTAGGGAAAAATAATCCAAAGATCCAGATAATTATATTCAGGTTGGGAAACGAGTTATAGGAAACCTAACACAGTGCCTGGAAGATAGTATACACTCAATAATTATTGATGCGTTAACAAAGAATGACAAACTAGATTTTTTTGTCTGGAGGAGAATAAAATACACAAGTCTGAAAAGCATATCATATCAAGACTAGCTGAAAGAAATAACACTATTTTACCTGGAAGGAAAGATTTTCTAGGAACAGGATAGCTGTCTTCAAAAATCACAAAAGGCTATGCTATGAAAGAAGGCTAAGGCTGTTTATCAAGGAGCATGGAGCTGGCTAAAAACAGTCATCAACAGGGAGTAGCCTTCAGGAATTGGTACTGTGAGAACTACACTACCTGAAGATCTCTCTGGAAATCTTCCTTTTCTCTGATTCTGTTTTTAACATATCTCATTTATACCCTTGAATTCATGAGGATGGAAGGGTAGCTGGTATTGCTATCTACACTGTAAGTATTAGGAAAATGACATACAGAAAAGTAAAATTATACCATGGTGGTTAGGAGTAGAAGTCTAAAGTCAAAAAAAATTCTTGCATCACCACCTTACAAAACTTGTAACTCCATGGTCAAGTTATTTAGCTTACCTGAGCTTCTAATAAACTTCCAGCAGCATTGGTTGCTGGCCCCATGGATTACACTTTGAGTAATAAGGCCAATACCTCTAATGCAAGCATTACTTGAAGTCAGGGTCCAGGACTAGAATGAGGCAAGGCAGGTACCTGCCATGGGCACAACATTTAAGGGAGCATCAAAAATTTGGCAATCAAGATAAATAACATTTTAATGGAATATTTTTACAAATCAAATCTAATGCAAAAAAAAAAATCAAAGAGGAACAGAATATCGAAATTTTAAATAAAGACAGGATCAGTTACGGTGCCATGCAAACCCATACTGCCACCAGAGGCAAAAGAAAAATCAGTAATACTTATCCTGTCTAAGTTTTTGACCACTGATTTTTTTACATTGATTTTGAATGTTTTAAATATCTACTTTGACTACTAATTTTTTTGTCTCCTCCTTAAATTCTGTGCCCAAGTCAAGGGCATCCCTCTCTGCACCCTAGTCCCAGCCCTGAATGAAATAATGCATGAAAAGTGCTTAGCAGAGTGTCTGCCATAGTAAATACTCAATTAGAGTTATTATTTTTGACCACTGTATTCTTCTATGGACAAACAATACTTCAAAGACAGAGTAAGAAGCAGAATCCATATTTCAGGGGTTATTTTGTTTGAAACACCTGTTCAATCTTTCGAAGAGTAAAAGAAACTCTGCTCTCAACCAGAAGGAGTTTATACAGGTTTTCTGCAGAGGTTATAAAAAAGCGGGGCGGCGGGAGAGGAGGCAATCTCAAGAAACCGATCTTGCAGGAAGGCAAAATATAAAGTACACGGGATTGACTTTGAGTAATAAGGCCAATACCTCTAAGTTATTGCAAGCATTTCATGAAGTCAGCATCCAGGACTAGAATGAGGCAATAAGATATAAATGTTTAACTCTCAGGGTTAGTTGGTTTTTATTCTAGCTTGACCACAGGCATTAAGGGTCATTTAACTCAGAATTTTGAGAAATACACAGAGAAAGACTCATGAAACAATATTTGTATCATTATTTCATGCATCACAACCAAAGCCAATGGGAAATCTCAAGGTTCATGGATTTCTGGCATGCATTAAATCCAGCACTATAATTCAACGACTTAAAAGCACCAAGTGGGACCTTCAAGAGTATTTGTTCAACTGTATCTTGAGGGGCACGAGGATGACAAATTTCATCCATGACCATTTACGCAAAGGACAGTTTCCACCCTGACACGTGTCTCACCTGTGGAGGGACTGGAACAGCTGGGGTAGCCACAGGTTCCACCGCATTGCTCATTCTGGCAGGAGGAGGACAGCTGTTTGCTGCATAGTAATTTCGAAGTTTCTTACCATGATTTTTACCCTTGAAGTAAAATGAAATGGGTAATCACTACGGGGAATATTTGTGGAGTTGATATATTCACTAAAAAAATAGAAAAAGTAAAAAAACACGAAGAATACTAACTACATTTTATTGTTTCAGATACATGCAACACTGGGGTAAACAGACCACTAACTAGATTTGATTACCTGATCTTAAACAGCCTGCTCGTTTCAAACAGAATGATTAAATTTATGTGGGAAAGATAAAGGAACAAAGCCAAAAGAAATTAATTTCCTATATATTTCTAGAAAAGTATTACATTTTCCAGTGACTTGTATCCTCCCCCAACTTGTTGCCATTCGTATGCTACTGCCTAAATATAAATTTCATGACACTCTCATTTAATCTACTTTACAAATCTGTAATAAAATGGATAATTCAATTATTTTTACAAAAATAGCACTTGCAGAGTATCTTTTTACTTTGTGCCTTAGCTCATTTGCTGCTCACAAAAATCTTGTAAGACGAATTTGTTCATATTATTCACATTGACAGCTGAGGAAGTATAATCCAGAGGGTATGGGGGACTTGCCACCAACACCTTTAGCAGGGCTAAGTAGTGTCCAGACCTTGAGGCAAGCCCTCCAAATACAAAGCAAGGCCCCATTTCACTACAGCATGGCTTCAGGACGCAGTGAACCTCTATGAAAATGGATTTGCCTCTCTCATTCTGTTTTCTTTAAGTTATTCACATGACTATCCTCTTGAAGTGATACGGACTAGTGGGAAGGGTCAGTGGTCTAAAAGCATTCTAAATGAGGGTAAAACATTATATTATTCTTTAAACTGCATTGTAAAAATCAAACCTGTAGGCAAACATTTAATCACCATCTACTACATGCTAAGCCCTAGAAATAAATAGCACTAGTACATGCTCTAGAGGAGGACACAGATATGTAAGCAGTTAATCAAAGTATTTAGGTTAAGTTCTGCCTTCTGACCACTGGAATGCCCTAAAGGTACTCTTACCACAGTCACAGTGACCTCCGGTGAATCAAATCTAAGGGTCACCTCTGTGCCTTCATCATATTCTAACTCTAAGCAGCATGACACAATTGATGCTCCCCGCTTCTATTGTCTTCTGTAACTCCCTCTCACACCCCTGCCTCTCATTCTCTAAATGCTGTGGTGTCTAAAGCTCTACGCTCAGCTCTCTTCTCTCGCTACCTACACTCAAACTGTCATTTTACCCAGTCTCATAGCTTTAAAATCAATAAGTTGGTGACTCTTAAAATTATCTTTCTCCATCCCTGTTATGGACTGAATGTTTGTGTCCTGCCAAAATCATATGTTGAAATCTAATCCCAATATGATGGTATTAGGAGGTGAGGCCTTTAGGAGGTAATTAGTTTTTGAGGGTGGAGCCTAATTAGCGTCCTTTCATAATGAGGCCAAAAGTACCCCTCATCTTCTTTCCACCATGTGGTAATACAAGAAGTCAGTTCTCTGCAATATGGGAGGGGGTCCTCACCAGAACCCAACCATGCAGACCCTGATCTCAGACTTCCAGCCTCTAGAACTGCAAAAACAAATTTTCACTGTTTAAGCCATCCAGTCTCATAATTTGTTATAGCAGTCTCAATAGACTAAGACGATCCCTGACCTTCAGAGCCATCGCTCCAACTGCCTTCCTGCCATACATACTTGGCAGTCTTAAGAGACATATTTAACTTGAAAAATCTAAAGCATAACTTTTGATTCCTCCCCCACAGAACTTTCTCATTACTGCTACTACCACCAGTCATCCACATGTCAGAAAATGATGCCAAGGTAACTCAAGAAAAGCCAAGAGGTCCTTTTCTTGACTCCATTCCTCCGTAAAAGCAACACATCTAATCTGCCAGCCAGTCCTATCAGCCTACCTTCAAAATATATCCTAAATAATTCTATTTCTTTCCATGGACACAGCAAATGCCACAGTAACCCAAGCTACCAACATTTTCCACTTTCTAACTGGTCTCTGCTCTCACTCTTATCCTCCTATAATTCTCATATCAATTAGAGTAATAATTGTAGACATAAATCAGATCATGTCACTCTCTCACATAAAATCTTCCAATGGTTTCCCACTAGACTTAAAATCGACAAATCTTACCTATAAGGCCCTACATGATCTGGCCCTATTCACTTTTCAAATTTTATTTCATATAGCACCTCTTCACCCTGCTCTTTATGCTCCCACCTCACTGGCCTTCTTTCTGGTCCTTATTCTAGCCAAACTCATTCTAGCTGCAGGGCCTTTGTACTTGCTGTTCCTTTGGCCTACAATGTTCTTTCAAGTGGCTGCATGGCTGGTTCCTTCTTATCTTTCAGGTATCAATTCAAACAGCATCTCACTCAATCTGAAGTGTCACAACCATTACTTCCCCCCCGCCCCCCAACATATACACGCTCTCTATCACATAACCACATTGTCTGATTTTACTTGACCATAGTACCACTTATCACTATCTAAAATAATAATGTTTATTTACTTTGTTTTTCTCTTTCCTATCGTCTGGAATGCAGATTCCTTGAAAAAAAGAACCTCGTCTGTCTTGTTTACTGTTCTATCCCTAATGTCTACAACAGTTTCTAGCATATAGGCAATCAGTAAATATTTGTTGGATAAATGAATCCAGTAGTTTAATGGAGATAAGCAAACTGTTAGAATACTGAGAAGGAATGTCTTACTTCTGCCTGAATGTGTTAAGGAAGACTTCTCTGAAAAGGGGACATTTGAGCCATCTTCTAAAATGAGCAAAAGTTTACCAGGTATTTAAGGAGTGAGGGGAAAGAAAATTGTGAACAAAGGAAATAGTCTGAGCAAAGGCCCACAGCATGCTGGAGAAACAGTCTTCAGGATCCTTTGGAGAAGAGGTAGAAGTTGAGATGTGCAGGAGAACTAATCCTTAATGGTTTCATCCACAATTCAGAACTTGAACTTTAGAGATAGTAGGGAGCCCTGAAGGATTTTAAGCAAAGCAGTGATATGATTGGATTGCATTTGATAAAGATCATCCAGGGACCAGCATAAGGAATAAATTAGAGTGATTAAAGCTAGAAGCTGGGAATATACAGAAGACAGCCAGAGACAAAACCCTAGGACACTAAAATACAGACTGCGGATGCAGAAAACTAGATTGAGAATGCCTGGCCTATGAAGTAAGGTGAAAACCAGACAACTGTAGTCTCATGGAAGCCTAGAACAAGGTGTTTCAAAAGCAGGGTCTAGTTAGATGTATTATAACACAGGAACTCTATTTCTAAGCATTACCAAACAGAAACACACATCTAAGGAGATACCTTTAAGAATGTTCCTAGAAGGATTATTTGTAACAGCTGAAAAGTGGAAACAACTTAAGTGGCTATCTACAAGATAATGGATAAATTGTAGTCTATTTATACAATGGAACACTATACACAGAAGTGAAAATAAACATTCTACCTAGAGTCATGCATGGCAACATGAATGATTCTCAGCAAAATGTTGAATAAAAAGGACAAGTTGCAGAAGATATTTAAGAATTGTCTTTAATATGGAGGTTATCAAAACTATATATTATATAAGAAAACTACATATTATATAAGAAAACACATATGTAGCAAAAGTACAAAACCAGTATGAGAACAATATCAGTCCAGTAAAGTGGCTACTCCTGGGTGCACAGGAAAAGATATAGCTGGAAAGGAATACGAGGGGCTTCAAATGAATTGATAATTTTCACTCTTTAAGCTAGATGGCAAGTACACAAATTCACTATATTATTTTCAATATTTTTTTATGTCTGAAGGATTTTATAATAATTTAAAACAACAACAACAAAAAAGGGAGTGGTCTGCCAGATTAAGCGCTACTGTGGAGTCAAGACACAGAAGTAATGCTTGGATCTGAAAAGAGAAAGGTGAAGAGTAACCTTGGTAAGAACCATTTCATTTTAGTAGATGGTAAAAGGTATATGGAGTGTCTTAAGGAAACATGAAAATAGAGACAACCAGTATAGGCAACTTTTTAGAAGAGTACTACTATGACAGGGAGCAGAGAAATCTTAAGGTATAGAGTTAGAGGGGGAAATGGATCAGTAAAAGTTTTTTTTAAGATGGGTTTTACTTAGCCTACTTTGCATGACAACAGGAAGAAGTCAGTAAAAAAAAGCAACAAAATAGATGATGCAGGAAGCATGGCCACAGAAGCACAGTCCATGAAAAGGCAGAAGATGAGGTACACAATACTTTAAGATGGGTCAAATATAAATAATATCAGGTATTTTATTTTCAAAGCAGCATCCACAGAAGTCAAGTAGATATTGCATCCATAACATAATGGTACTAACGGCAACTAACAATTTTTGAGCACTTGTATGACTGACAATTCTAAATAATTCATAAATATCATCTCATTTAAACTTCATGAAATCTCTATCTAGCAGGTATAATTATTTTACATATGAGGAAAGTAAGCTCAGAGAGTTAAAAACTTGCCTGAGATAGGTGGGTACCAGGTTTCCTAGATTTGTATCTCCCCACATATCCTCTACAAACAATACAGAAGGATAAGAAAAACAAATAAAGCTACACGCAAAATCATGCCTTTCACATAACTAAACACCACAGAATGTCCAGACTTCAAAGTAACTGTAGGTAAGAAAGACAAAACATCAAACCCAGTGAGCAATCACTCATGCTCCTGCCATAAGCAATAACAGTCTGACAAAAACTGCAGGGAAGAGAGGAGGGGGCTAGCAAGCAGAAGACCTAAAATTGCTTTATAACCACTGCCAGAAAAAGTAAGTCTCCTAAGTCTGAAAATACTAAAACATGATCCAACCACCGGTTGCTAGAAAGGGGCTTGAATGTATACGTGGTCTGAAGTGGCTATCTTCAAACTGGCTTCTGGGGAAGAAAAAGGCCAAGAAGGGAGAGACACCATTAAGCAACTGGAAGGTGAATGGAAAAAGAAGCAACACAGGAAAAGCTGGTGTCTGCAAGATAAAAACAAA